GGGGCGGGAGCGCGGATGCCCGGGCTCTGGGACGTGGGGGGCGCGGGCTCCGCAGCTCCAGGCTGGAGGGTCTGCGCGGGGCCGGGGGGCTCCTCATGCCCTTCTCACCCCTCTCTCTTCCTCCTCCAGGTGCGCACGTGACCTACGCACAGACAGGTGAGCATGCGGGCTGGGACGGCGGACGGAGACCCCAGGCGTCCGGGCTCCCCAACCCCCCGCAGCGCCCAAGGACCCCCCCGTGCCCTGCCTCGGTCTGTCCGCGTTGGCTCCACGGGGCCGGGAGTGTCCCCAGGGCCTGGGCGCCGGGGTGCTGTGGGGAGGGCTGGAGCAGGGGCCCGGGCCGGACGCCAGGGGCCCGGCTGACACGCTCTCCGCAGGCACGTGCGGGACGCCGGCGGTGGTGGGCCGCATCGTGGGCGGCGTGGCGGCGGCAGCGGGGCAGTGGCCGTGGCAGGCCAGCCTGGCGGTCAGCGGGCAGCACGTCTGCGGCGGGTCGCTGGTGGCGCCCAGCTGGGTGCTCACAGCCGCCCACTGCTTCCCCAAGTGAGTTGGGTCCTGGCCCCCATACTGCCCCCCACCCAGGGAGATTCTCCCAGGGGCCCAGGCATCTGGGCCCCTTCTTTTCCCTGCCTTTATCCTTATTCACTGCTGTACGAGGTGCGTTTCCCAGCCCCTGTACTGCGGCGGGGGATTCTCCCCAAGTCCTGCCCCCCCTCCCCCCCTCTCACACTTCTCCCTTTCGCCCTCCCAACCCTGGTCTATGTGCAATGCCCTGTATGGTGTTTCCTAGCCCCTACACTGCAAGGGTGGGGAGTCTCCGTGTATCCTCCCAAAGAACTCTGGCATGCCCAGGGTCCCAGCCCCCCTCATCCCAGCCAAATCCCAAATCCCTTGTTTCTGCTCCTGTTCTTTCATGGTGTGTTTCCTAGCCCCTATACTGTAAGGAGGGTGTGCGATTCTCCATAAATCCCACCCCACTCCCAAGCATCTGGCCTCCCCCATCTCCCAGGGAACCCAAGTGTCCTGGGTCCTCTCACCCCCCTTACTCAAGTCCAGCTGTTATCTGTATTTGCTTCCCAGCGTGGCTTGTTTCCTAGTCCCCATACTGCAAAGGGTGATTCACCATAAATCCTGCCCTGCCCTGCCCCCTGGGAGACGGGGAAGCCCAGGCTCCTCCAGGCTCAGGTGTCCTGGCTTCCTCCACCCCCGTTACTCAGTCCCAGCCCTTGTCGATATTTGGTGCCCAGCACAGTGTTTCCTAGCTCCTATACTGTGAAGGGTGATTCTCCATAAATCCCCCCAACCTGCCAGAGAACCTAGGTGTCCTGGTTTTTCCCGCTTCCTTTACTTGGTCCCAGCCCTTGTCTATAGTTGGTGCCCAGCATGGTGCATTTCCTATCCCCTATACTGCAAGGGGGAGGGGGGGTGACTCTCCATAAC